AAATGCACAACTTCTTTTATGCTAGCTTAAATGTGATTCCTACCTATTATTCATCTGTGTGATTCGCTGATATCTTATAAATCAATTAAGCGTTACTTGAATATATATTATGTATTTGATAAACTTTCTTGTAAATAAAGTATGTAGGTCATTCGTTATTAAAATCAAGTTAGGACTATAGCATAGTAAATCAAATGATCGATTACATGAACTCTCCACTATGGTAGAAAGCTAGTTTATTATTCAAACATTGATAATTAATTATTTAAAACAAATGCTCGTTATACTATGAAGGACGCATTGCTTAAAATATTAAGTTAATTATTTCTATATAAAAAAAAAATGAACAATTAGTTAGAACTTGCCTTTGATCCAAGATTCAAGGTTTAAAGATTTTAGATATGTATGTTAGTTTTTTTTTAAAAATTTAAAAAAAATAGTATTAATAAAGCTTGCTTAGTTCAGATTTTAACCAAAATACAAAGGGTTTTTTTTGTATTTTAAAACATAAATAAATAAAATATAAAAGGTAAGCTTTTATTTAAGTTTTTAAATAAAAGCCAGCATACCAACTATAGACATTACTTTTGAACTAATAATTGAAAGGCTTCAAATTAGTTTCTTTAAAACTAAACTTATTTAAGAATGAAAAAAGACCCCAGAATTTATAAATTAGGTTTTTTTTTAAAAAAAAAATTAATTATTACATTTCAGAATCTTTGGTAAGTGTTCAATTAGGTTCTTCAATTTTTTTCTAAAAAAAAAACGTTCATAGGAACTTACCCCCATTGAAAGACTCCGGTCAACGCGTTGATTTTTGTCCTAATATAGTCAGAGAATTACATAAAAAAATTTTTGTGGAAAACTATGGAAAAAATATTGAAAAAGAAAAAATAACTTAAAAATGATAAAATATAAACATTATAATAATATGCCAATGACCAAATACAGCACGTATGTGTCAGTGGAATATTTATTTGAAAAAACGAAGGTTGAAAGACAATATCAAATAGTAAAATTGACGATTAATCATAACCATGAAACTAATCAAATTGCTTGATTTTTTATCCAAAGTTCTTCGGTCTTTTATACAGTAAATAATGATATTTTCATTTTAAGAAATTTATTTGTTGGAATTGAACAGTTTAGTTTCGAAAATTCACAAACAATAATAATAATGACTAAATTCACTTCATTAATGAATTTTTTAAAAATCTTAAGACGGTTAATTGTAAAGATTTCTTATATAATTAACAGACAGATTAATATTTGTAATTTGGACAATATATGAATTATTAGTTTAGTTATCAGCAAATCAATCTTGAATAACCCAAATGCGCCTCTTCAGTCCATACTAATAGCTGCCAACAACAATCCACGAATTTAAAAAGTTAGACATTTTGAAATCGAGTAATAAATATTTTCATACTTTAGTATAAATAAATTTTGATATCTACTATATGAAATTAAATAAATTGTAATAATAGTTTAAAGAAATAAAAGATTATTATAGGACATATTAACTATTAAAAATTGCAAGATTAATTAGAAAAAATAATAATTATATATAATACAAAAACAAAATACAACAATATCTCTTGAAGGTAGGTCCAGGAATTCTAGGAATTGGATTCTTGCCTATTTTTAGCTGTTGCATTGCAACGTTTGAGGTAATAAATTAAATAATTCGGTTAAGTTAAAATAGCCAATCTTAATTTCTACCTACCAACAGGAAATATTGACCAGATAAAGATTTTAGGATTCAGAATCAACAATTAAGTTTGATTCCATATGCACAGCCCTCAAGGATTGACTCCATTTTTATCCACCATGCAGTTCAGCAGGAGTGAGATTATCATTTTTTGGTCGTTAAAATCGTAGCAAAAAGATTAACTAAAGAAAGATTTTAACTTTTAAATTATTGCTGATTTTTTGTATTGTGTGACATAGTATACAAATATTTGAAACTTGGCAAGCCATTGCTGTTGTGTGAGCGATATTTATATTTAACAAATGATCAAACTGCCTCGCTCAGGCAGTATTTTTTTAGAGTTTTGGGAAAATAGACTTAGGAATAATTTTTTGAAATAATTTTCTTTTGCCCTCATATATATAATAAATGATTTTCTGCGCAAATATTTTCATTCCAATAAATACTCTTTTATATGATTCATTATTACTAAGCGTTAATCATGCCACCATTTAGCAAAATTCACATAAATTGTCAAGTTTTGTATCAATACATTAATAAACTCCCTCAAATATTAGACCACACTCTGAGCTACAACATAATACAAACTAAATTGCTATTTTACTCTTTTAAAACGCATTCTTATGACTTTTATCTTACATAATAGAATAGTGTTTCGAGCAGTTCTTTGTATTCATTGGAAACATTTGCTAATCCAATGCAAGTGAACATATTCTAATTAATTATGCGCCATTAAATAGTGTGTGATGATAATAAATATCAATTTGTGATTTGATTAAGTCATTAATACGGTTATGAATCCTATTTACTATCCTTAAAGATGACAGATTTAAAATTATTGTAAGTGAGAACAAGAAACAAAATATTAATTAGAACTCAATGCATAAAGAGGATTTTTATGAAAAAGAACTTTATGATCATAATAAATCTTCAAGAAAGTATATTTAGCTCTTATTTTGTGTAACCGAATATATACAGTATAAGTAAACAAATCACGTAATGTATTTTGACGCAGAAAAAAGATATTTGTGACTTTTATTTTATAATATTTATTTGAATCTTTGATTCTTTGACATATACAGAAAGTAAATAATTAGCAGCGCGCATGCCTTCAGCTGTTTTTGTGTAACATATTTATTTCAAAAAATATAAAAGTTTAAAAAAATTCCTTTAATAAAAAATGAAATCCCATGTTTCTGCTGATGTATTGACTCTCGATCAATGTATAATCGAAATTAAAATACAATGAAAACTAACTATTACTTCCTCAGCCGGCGTTTTGTATAGATCCTAAAATAATAGAGAATCTTAAACTAATCTTCTTTCTAAATACGAAATCTATTATATTAAATCTTTGATCTAGAAGGTCAAATTCGGCAATTAATAAATATCAAGACTGGGTGATGGGAATGTATAATGTTGGATGAAATTGTCATAAATGTTATAATTAGAGGAAGTGAAATAAAGCGATAGTTAAGGAAAATTTTCTATAAAACGAGATCTTTATCATAATTATTTATTTTATATAGCAGAGTTAAAAACAAGATGCGTAGTAAAGGTAAGGTAAATTTTTAGGTGGAAATGGTTATTAATTTGGATTAATAAGCACATGCATGAATGAGAATCAACAATAAAATATGGATTTCCTCCTTTTTTACTGACTCCAATTTTCAAATGTCCAATATGTGATAATTGCAAATTTTCTGATAATGAAATCATCGTTGTTCTAAGGAATTTTTTTTAAAAATAAAAAAATGGAAAGGAAAAAATGAGAAGAAAGCTAATTGAGAATGTACTGTATTCAATTTTGACGTATTTATATTTTTTTTTATAGAGAAATGAATTTTTAATATTTTTTTCGATCCGATCTAAATTCCTTTATTAATTAGCATAACAAAAATTATTATTCGCCATAACGATTTTATTTTTTATTATTGATTTAACAAAAACGTTTTTTACAATTTTTTTATTTTTTAGTTTTTGATTTTATTAAATTGAATTTAAAAGAAACTATATAAACCAAATACTTCAAAACTTGCACTTATTGCGAATTATTCGCTGAGAAATTATAGTGTAAAGAATATGACCCTTGGTACACAATTATGAGATGAATTTATTAGAGATTGGAACCGTCATCACTCGGGTATCCACATCATTTTATAAATCGGGTACCCTGGTTATTTCGGGTCATAAGTTTATTTAACTTAACCTTCATTGTGACAGGTTATTGCTTTCATCAAAAAAAAAAAAAATTGTGGTGAGCCTTATTACTAGAGTAACAATTATATTATCATTGTCTGATAAAGCCTATCATTCATAGTTGAAAGCTAATATTTAGAGTGAATTTGGTAACGAATTAAAATTAAATAATAAAATTTAGCCGGAATGTCTGTAGAATATTTACCCATGAATGTCTTCCATAATTTAAATTTTAAACAAATTAAAAATTCAATACAATTAACTGATTTGAATTTCTTAAATCATCGAGCATCAGAAATCTGCTTTTTTGTTATTAAGGCAATCGGGTATCCGGGTTGTCAAATCTGGAACCGGGTCAAACCGATCGATTTAATGCGGGTGATCCGATCTCGAGTTCATAATTGATGAATTTATTTTATCATTTATGTTGCAGAATATCGAGATCGGAAATGGATTATTGAACGGGAGTCTTCTGATAGATTCAGAAAAATAAAAATTAGTAAACGAAAATTTTACCAAATTCTGCAACACAAAGAAATGATAAAATGATAGAAAAGTTTGATCCTAAAATTAGCTTAAAACGCAATCGGACTTTATGTAAAAGCAATTCATTAATCTTAGACGTTTAATTTAAAAACTTTATAATTTTTCATTATTCATAACAAAATATCTTGTAATTCCGTAATCTGGATAATTCAGGATTGCAACATGATGTAAATCCATGCGCATGATGAGGCTTCGGGCCGTTTTATATTATTATATCGTGTTCGAGCAAGCGAAAAAATGTCCGTATATGCATTACCCCCAACGCCATTGTAAATATCAAGATCTTCAATGCACATTCCGCATGCCTTATTCTCGAACACAAAACTTTGGCGTAAGAGTCCGTTTCGTTCTTACCTTTTAAAATGAATCTTTTGGTTATCAGTATAAATCGCATTTGCCGAGAATCCTTAAATTTGTGCAACAATAAACATTAAAGCCATATCCCATTCAGGAAGTTCTGTTCTTTTGAATTCATTAATAACTACTCGGGTTGAACGATTTAAAAAACAATTTATTATCACTTTTCCGTAATTAATTAAACATCATGTACGTGAATTCGATAATTATTAAATTATTGATCATTATTAAAGTGATCATATCGGTTGCGGTCGCACAACCAACAATTATACGTTGTTGTCATGGTTCTGTATTGGCAGAAGGTAGAATATATATTGGAGGCGGTTATACAGGCGATGAAAATGAAAACATCAACACAAATGATTTTTTTTCTTTCGATTTAAGCGTTCCATTTTCTACAACCGATATGCAGTATGAAGTTCACGCAAATGTTCCAATAATGAGTACAGCGCATGCACTTGTATATGCAAAAAGTGAAAAGGGTGGAATGATATATTTATTTGGTGGTAAAAGAGTAATTCCTATTGGAGATCCTATATACGGATATTCCCTAGAGAAACAAGCATGGAGTTCCATAACACCAAAAGTTAATAATGGCATCACGATGCCAATTGAATCTAGTACTAGGATTGTCGGTATTACAGATAGCAGCTTAGATACCATTTACATATTTGATAATGGAACCATGTATATTTACGATGTATTAAATAATTTTTGGAATCCTGGTGTAATCGCTCCTTACAAAATTAATGAATATGGCGCCGTTATGTTAAATACCAGCGAAATTGCTTACATTGGTGGTTCTGATGGTACAACAAACCTTCCTATGGATCAGATCCTCTTATATAACACAAAATTATCTCTATGGTATATAAAGGTAAGGAGATTGATTAAATTTAATACTTTTATATTTTCGTTACAAAGATTAAAATCATTCATTTTAGATCGCAAAGTCGAATGATGTAATGCCATCACCAAGGCAGGGTCACACGGCATCTATAGGTAAGCTATAAAGTGCGTTCATCTGTCAGCTTTTTTGCTGGAACTTGTACTGAATATAGTTATTAATATAATAATAGCATCAGATGGTCGGATTTTTATATATGGTGGTTTTGACGGTAATGAAGATGCGCTCTTTTCCTCCGGAAGTACTCCCACGTTCGCAGTCCTTGAGTATGATGGTAATGAATTTATGTGGGATTCTCCTGAGCTATTTAATCCGTCATCTGTAATGAGAATCTATCATACCTCACACGTAGTAGGAGATTATTTGATTATTGCTTTCGGTATGAATCGCTTTTTTTATATCATTAATTATTTGTTATATCATTATTAATTATTGTTTTATAATAGGGCGAAATTTAACTCATGTTAGATTGAACACGATTGATCTGATAAACATAAAGAGTAGAGATAGTTACGAAATTGTCACAGACTTTGCACACTCATCAGCATCATCACAGGCTTCGTCACCTATCACAACTATCACATCACCACCACCCATCTCTTCATCATCAAGACCTGCCATCATTTTAGCATCAGTATTTGGTACTATTGGCTTTTTTGTAATTATTGCAGGTGCTTTCTACTTGAAAAAACATTATAATCGAAGAGACGCTATTCCCACCGCTTAATCAATTTAAATTTTTCGTCGCGAATCGACAATAAAAACTACTCGGATTAAAAACATACGGAGTAATTGTACTGCATACATGTATTAGAATATTTTAATACATAAATGTCTTTGGAAATATTATCCGAGGCGTTTTCCATCATGTGATCACGTGACTTTAATTTACAACAAAAAAAAAAATGTTTATGGAAATGTTGATGTTGTTACAATAAAAATGGGATTTCTTTTGTGTAATTTTGTCAACGGATTGGAAATATGACATTTATTTATTCTCAAATTTCTTTTTTTTACGACATTTTATATAATTCAATGTTTTAAAAATTTGCATCAATTCATTTACGATAATAATTTTTGTAAAAATCGAGTTTCGGGCATAATAAAGTATTAAATACCTTTTTTTTCATTATTTGCTTGTTGGCCAATATTTTTGATTGTTAAATATTCTAATAGTTTTGATGCCCCACATAACGTTCCAATTTTAAAATGATATTAACGTCACACTTAATATAATTGAAAATTAGTAAATTCGATTAATAAAGAAAACAATAATTAAAAAGCACTTTAGTAAATCTTTTAAAGCGCAGATTGAGTAAATTTCAATAAAAGATTAAATCAAAATTTTTTATTGCATTCTCTGGTGTCTCGGATTAATTCATTTTTAAAGAAGTTGAAAAGACACTTGATTTGGAGCTTTATTTAAAAAAATTATATCTTTCAATCGAAAAAAGCCTCGATTCAAATTATCATTATCTTTAATAGTGTTATTAGCAGTTCTTTGGAGTTTATTTTATGGGTTATAAATAGGGATGTTAAACAGTCCCAAATGATTGTGAACAAATTAAGAAATTACGAGTTATAGAAAAGTCTAATTGCTTATCTATAATATTTTATAATTAATTTTATGAATAACTTAAAAGAAATATGAACTTTGAAATCAACAATTTTCATGGGACCGCCAAGGTGGAACCCGGTCCTTTGGACCGGGTCCTAAGTTTCAAAAATTAAGATTCTGGATTTCCGCATAAGTTTAATATATATTTTTAATAAATATTCAATTAATACATCGTCTTAGAACGTAAAATATACAGCCAGCAAAATAAAATTCTTCTCTAGAACTTGCAAATTTATTGGGACTTTTAGGACCGTTTAGGACCTTTAGGACCGTTTAACATCCCTAGTTATAAACGATGTTAAGGTAAGCAGAAGGTTTTATTATTTTCGTCTTTTATTTTATTTTATTAATAATAACGGAGTTTATAATCTATTACAACATTACCTTCAACGTCGGCTCTCATATATTAATTATATATCGGAGATATTACAATAAAAATGTAAAAAGAAAAGGAAATAACGATGTAGCAAATTGAACGCTACGAAGATACATTTTAGAAAGAAAAATCCCGCCAATGTATATGTAAAAAATATATATATATATAGGACATTATTATCCAAAAGACTAAATTGGCAAGAGAACAATAATGGCCAGGTGGCATTTTTGGCCACGAAATAATTTATGTATTAACTAAATGCTATTGTACTTGTTTCGCTAATCAATTTTTTTTAATTCTTGTTAACATAATAGTAATAGTAAAATAACAATTGTAACAATAGCAGAATTTTTACATTAAAAAAACCCAGACTCTGATAAATATTTTATTCATTTTAACCAAATTAATAAAATTTTTGACCCCGTAACTAGAACTTTATCGTTTCATTTTTAAATCCCAACATTCTAATAAATTTCCTAAACCAAAATATTTTTTAAACTATTCATTTTCTCTTTTCCTCTAATAACCTTTTCAATAATGTATCGAACACGATTTCCAAATTTTTTTTTTTGATTTCGTGATCGTAAGTCCAATTGGACGCCAACATTTTCTCGAAATTGTTATTCTGTTTTTTATTCTATGGAGAATTTGTTGATTGTTGGAAGAAAGAAACTTATATATTCTCCATCCTCCATCCTTTTCTTTTTTCAAACTGTTTGTTTAGTATGGAATATTGAGCGTTCAATGCATAAGGAACTACCTTATTATCTATTCGCTACATAATTCCTGGCCGATCAGCACAAAAATCTCCAAACAAATTTCCAAATTCCTCAAGATCGATTGATTCCTATTATAGAACTTGTGAAAATGGCCCCATCTTCTTTCTATGATGATAAAAATTATGAAGGTCCACTACCACCAAAACAACTTTAATTAATGATTAATACAACTGATATGAATCAAAATATAAAAGATAATCCACCTGTAGAAGATATTAATAATCATCATATTTTAAAAACAGCTACTCACAACGTTCGTTCTTTCACCCAACAATTTAAACAACAAATTTTAGTACAACTTTACCTCCTCTACCATTTAGATATTATAGGTATTCAAGAAACTGATCTCATTACAACCTCCAACAAATCTTTGTCCAATATTCTTGATTCTAATTATAAGATTTTTCTCAACCATAAACAAAACATACAAAAATCTGGCTTTGGTGTGGGAATTATTATTAAAAAATATTTAGCCGACCATATTTGTTTTAGTAATGGTGGTTTAGGATGATATATTTATATTGATCTCCAATTTCGTAACAAATATCGACTTCGCATCATTAATTGTTATATTTCTAGCTCTAATTCCACACTTCGTAATAATACTTTCGACGCAGTCACCAAACTTCTCAACTAAGTACGATTGAATAATATGGACATAATACTTTTAGGTGACTTCAATGCAGTCTCAAATCGAGCTATTAATCCATCCAACTCTAATAGATTTTTTGATTAATTGGATAATGCTAATATTTTTAATACATATGATCTTCTATATGAGAACGCTAATTCGGACTTCCCCATTTTTTATAACAATATATGTCTTGCTCCTTCAAGAATTGATCACATTTTCTGTTCTATAGGTCTAACAACTGATCTATAAGAGGCATCTACAATCGACATAAACTATAACCTATCTGACTACACAATAGTTACAACCTCCTTTTTTACCCCAAAATTGTATCTTTGACATTCAGGACTCCTGTTAAAAAGGTTTCCTTTCAATATGACAATATGTCAAGTGATGATTGGTCAGCTTTTGCTCACAAAACTGATGCTCTTCTTACCTCATGTCAACTGGCTACCTTGGAAAATATAAATTTAAATCTAAACAAGCTTTGAATTTCTATTGGGATTTAATCCAAGGATGCATTATAAAAGCTGCTGAAAAATGTATTCCAATTCACCATTCGTCACAGCACTCATATGGCCTCAGACCTAAATCCTTAAAGAATGTCTATCGACAAATAAGAATAGCTCAAAAACTTGAAAAGTTTTCTAAAAATGCATTTATATCTAATCGCATTCTTACGCAATGGTCCAACAGTTATGACAAAACAATTAAAATTGCAGTTGCCTTAAAATTTGAAATTTTGCCTATTGCTGCGCAATCACCATCAGCCATTCATGCATTCATTCCTACTATTAGATCTCTTATTTCCACTTTAACTGTGAAAGCCAAAGCAGAAGAAGAAGAACATAAATCTAAATCTATTAGACTTGCAATTGAACAATGTTGTGATAACTTTCTAACGAATCAGACTAAAATGATTGATTTAATTCTCCATAGAGAAAGAAAAGTTATAACTCTTGATCGATGCCTAGATAATTCTCAACGAAATCTAGGTTTACTCACTTCTGCTCAGGAGATCAAACAAGAAACTGCTCGCCATTTTCAACAAGTTACTGACTCTTGTTACCATGAAGTAAACATACCTGATGAATGGATTCCATCATATGCTCCCCAAAATGATATTGATCCTAATATTTATAATGACCTTATGATTGCATCCACTGAAGAGGAATGGTCTCATATTATCTTAACTCTTCCAAATGATAAAACATCCGGTCTATCAAAAATCTCAAATAAAATGCTGAAGAATCTTGGACCTAAAATAAGAAAAGTGTTTTAGATGTTTGTTTGTAAATGTCTCAACCTTTTTCTCACACCAGATCATTGGAATCTCGCTTTTATTTATCCTATTCCAAAACCCAAACCGTGTGAATATAACCTTAATAACACTTGACCAATTACGCTACTGGAGTGTTCACGTAAAGCTCTAGTTAAACTTATTAACAAACATTTATTGAACATCCTCTCAAAACATAACATTTTAAAAGGATACAACTTTGACAGACTTCCTTTTCGTTTAACCTTCGAACCAATTCATATTCTTGATAACATTAAATATGATGTTAATCAGTCTAATTCAAAAGAATTGTGGATCTTATTTCAAGACATGTCCAAAGTTTACGATCGAGTAAACCTTGGCATATTACACAATACGCTAAAAAGGATTTGTTTACCTTCAAACTTTAGATGCTTAGTAGTAGAAAAATAGGCTTTTTGGCACATTTCATCCAAATGCTTCCAGAAGGTTGTCCTGGGTATCATATTTTCTTTCATATAGGTACACAAAGCTTAAATCCTTTTTAGATTCCTATTTGATATCATATCTATTTTAAAGTTCGCATCTCTTTTGCTTTTTATCCTGAAAAATCAGAAATTTTTGGCACATTTCGACCAAATGCTTCCAAGAGGTCGTCCTGGGTATCAAAAAATTTCTCATATAGCGTAATCCTATTGTAATTATACTTGTGACCTTAAGGAGATAAAATTTGCTTTCTTGATTGTTATTCGCTCTGTAAACATTTGCTTCCTATATGTAAAAATAAATGTTTCGCTTTGGCACAATCAAGTCCGAAACACTTTTGGTATTCATCCTGGGTATCAATTTTTTCGCATACATTATAATCAAATTGCCTCCCAATAGCATACCATATTTAGGTAGCAAGAGAAAACAAGCATGAGGAGAAGCGGAGCAATGACAAATACGCATTCAATATAGGAGAATAAGTATGAGCTGGCAAAGCCTTTAGGGCGACGCCAGTTAATATGCATTTGACAGGAGGAACGATATAGCAGGAATATGAGCGAGTCCTTTAGGGTGAAG